AGATAGCCATTTCCACAAAGGGTGCTAGAGCAGTTGGACATCCATAGGCAAAAGGTGCATCCTTGTGGTATAACAAGAAATGTATTTGGTCTTTGTTCCTGGCACAGAGCTCCTAAAACCCCTGAAAGCTCCAGAGCCACAGGAGTCTCTTTTAAGTTATTCATACACAGAGGCCCTTTTGAGCACACCTGACTTTATGCTATGAGTTGACTTAGGGTGGAGCCCCTAGACAGCCTCAGGATGGGGCCAATCACCAGAAAAACCAAATGATTAGAGGATTAGAACTTTCAGTCCTACTCACTGACTTCTGCGGGGGTGGGGGGGGTGTCAAGGTGTGCCTAGAGATTAAGCCCTATAAAAACTCTTGAACAAGGAGAGAACTTCCAGATTGGTTAAAAAAAAAAAAAATCCACATTCTGGGAGAGTAACAAAACCCCGTTCCACAATAACAGAAGCTCCTATTTCAGGACTCTTCTGGACCTGGCCCTATGTACCTCTTCATCTGGCTGTTCATCTGTATCTTTTATAATATCCTTTATTGTAAACTGGTAAATGTAAGTAAATGTTTCCCTGAGCTTCATGAGACATAATTTTAGCAAAATATCAGATCCCAGGAGGCGGTCTGGGAAACCAGAGGTATGAGTGACCTGGACTTACGACTGGGACTTGTGACTGGCACCTGAGGGGGTGGAGGGCAGTCTTGTGGGATTGAGCCCTTAACCTGTGGGATTTGATGCTATCACCACCGAGACAGTGTCAGAATTGAGTTAAATTTGTAGGACACCAGTGAACATCCACTGAGAATTGGAGAATTACTTGGTGTGGTGAGAAAACCCCACACATCTGGTGTCAGAAGTATTGAAAGTAGAGGATAAAAATAGTTTTCCCTTACAATCCTCCTTTTAGAAGATCCAATTTATGAACAGCCAGACTTATCCCCAAAACAATATATCAGTTTGCCAAAAGATATTTTACCTTTAAGGATCTCTATGTGGTATGTTTCCTCGGTATATTTTAAAGGATTCTTTTCATTAAAATTCCACTTACCCCTCCTTTTTCAGAATCTCATCTGCTTAAGACCAAATAACTCCTCTCTCCAGTTTCACAGCGAGGCTTAGTCATGTGACCTACTCAGGGACTTGGGTAGCAGCAGTCCCGTGTCCTAACTGCTAAACCAGGGCTCTTGCCCAAGTCCATCATTTCTGTATTCCCACTTTAAAAAATTATCATTCTTGTGGAATTCTTTCCATATGTACTTCACCTTATCCAGAAAATGTTAACTCAACTGAACCCTGCAAGATACAGCCCTCATGAAACCCAGAAACAGAAGCACTTTGGACAGCTGCTTTATAATCTGAGGAACACTCAAGTCCACCAAGCAGTCAAATGGGAGAACAGGCCTTCCAGGCTGGAGCTGGCTGCCGTCTGTTTCCGGCTCTGTCACTGACTGGATATTCAACTTCACCAGCTATCTTACTTAACGATGTCTTGCCTTTTTTTACCTTCAGTAAAACAGCAACAAAAAAAATTTTATTTCGTCCTCACTGATGGAAAGAGTCTAATGATATAATCCTTCATGTTCCTCAAGAGTGAAGTAAAAATTACACATGTGGCTGCATAATTAATAAAAACCATTCCAGGATCATCTTTCTTTGGGATTCAAATTCTTCTCATTCTTTACAATTCCTCTTTCAAAGTAAGCAGTTTTATTTAAGAGATTAACAAATCTGTCAGAAGTCACAGAGTCTGATCTGTGTCTCATCCCCTTCTGAATCTTTATGCAGTTTTCTTAGTATCTCATGCTGCTATTCCCAACCATTAGGGATACAAGGAAAAGAAAAAGGTTAATAATTAAGTCTAGTAGACCAGGGTTTTTCAACATCAGCACTGATATTTTGGACAGAATACTTCTTTGTGTGGGGAGCTGTCCAGTGCACTGTAGGATGTTTAGTGGCATCCCTGGGCTCCACCCACTAGGTGCCAGGAGCAGCCTCCCAGTTGTGACAACCAAAAATGTCTCCAAACACTGCCAAATATCCCCTGGGGAACAAAACTGCCCCTGGTTAAGAACCACTACATTATACATATAACACACAAATATCTGGAAGCCATCACCTAAAAGGAAACCTTTAGACTGAAAAGAAAACAGAAAAGACATAATTCTCTCTAAATATTTGAAAAGTTTCCATATAGAAGCAGGAAAAGATTTCAAATATCAGAGAATAGAACTATACCAGTGGACAGAAGTTACATAATAATAAAATCAGCTCACATCTATTCTTCCTACACGCTAGGCACTGTTGAGTACACTTTCAAATATTATTTAATCGTCACAATAACCCTCTGAAGTCAGTAGTATTGGCCCCACTTTACAGATGAAAAAACTGAGGCTCAGGAGGTCCAACAGCTAATAGCAAAAGCAGAACCCCATCTCAAACTGAGATCTAACTGAGCTCAAGCTCTTAACTCCCAAGCTACTATGACCATAACAAATGAAGATTTTACCTCCACATAATAAAGAAAATGAAGAACTTTTTGACTTAAAAGCTGTTTCTTTCACCAACAATGATTCCTGCAGCCACCATCTCAATCCTATCCGTTCAGATCAGAAAATCCACAGACCTTTCCTTCATAACCTCAGGGGAAGCCTCTGCTCTAACTCTGCTGAGCCCCTTTACCACTTCCTACTTCAAAGTACTCAGGCTACTCTCTCAGCTCTTCCTTAGAAAGCTCCTCGAGAGTGCGGCAACTAGCTTCTCGCATTTACAACTCTACAAAGCCTTGCACATACTGGGGCTCAATAAACCTTTTCTGAATGACTGTTCCAGAGGTACCACCCCCACCCTCCAAAGCTCACACCAGAGGGGATATTTAAGCAAGCACCTTCAGGAGATATAATTCTTGCACTTGAGCTGAAGATTTTATTGCAAATGCTGAGTTTTTTCCAACTCTCAGAATCTGAGTCAGGAAGAGTCAGAAAGGAATATGACAGATAAGACAGTCCGTTGGCTACATGTCCAATCAAGCTACCACAGACTCGTTTGACTATGATCACATATCATGTGTCAGGGGCTACATGTATTTATGTATATGTGTGCATGTATATACACTTATACTTACACTTGGGTATGTATACAAAGACATATATATGTCTATGAACGCCTGTATATACGTACACCTCAGTTCCCTCTTTAGAAATTAAGCAAATATCTATAGTGTTCCTGAGGCCTTGAATCCAGCCAAGGAAGTCTAAATTAGGAGTCTCTTTTTTCCCCCAGTATATTAATAAGGTAAGGCAAATAAGGCTATACACAGTATTCCTCATAAAATACCAGCACATGTGCCAACCAGTACTACCTTCCCCAGGTACCAGAGTCTGGTATCTTTTCAGGAAAATGCCAAGTGGCCAAGCCCCGTTCATGTGTGTGGCAGTGAAGAGATGCTCATGAACAGTGCACGGGGGAGAAAGGGAAACATCACTAAATTGTATCTTATGGGCACTATATTTCCATTAGAAATTGCAGGTCTCCAGGATAAAGTACTTCTATTTCTCTTTTTTAAAAAAAGCTATTCCCAGTGTTCCACAGAAGTAGAAGCCTGTCTTCTTACCACAACCAGCTAGTGGTGAGTTCTCTAGGCTAATTTAGGGGTGAAGGGGAGAGTTGGCTGGGAAGGCCAGAGAGTAGAGCAGTCAAGCAATTGCTTTGCCCAAGGGCCAGACTCAAAATAAAGGCAAGGAATGTTGAGAGGAAGAGCACCTGGCATAAACCATGCTAGGGGTCCCTCAACTTCTTCAGTGTTTTTGAGCAGTACAGTGAGGGCAGTAACAATCATGCACCAACACAAGCCTTTGTTACTGTCACCTGTTTCCTCTCCATGGTACAGAGGTTCATCTGATTCTTTCCTTCCTAATCTTCTATCTCCATCAATGACATGGCATTTTCCGCTTATGTGCAACCAATCACCATTCAAGAGAAGCAGAAATGTAACCATCCAGAAGGTGCATTCAGACTGATGATGAAATAGGCTGGCCACCTTGTACAGGAGCCAGTGCAAAATTAAACACATCAACAGGGCCCAGAAAGCTTTGAGGACCAACCACAAACCCTCTCCTCCTTCAATTTGCAGATAGGTGTTTCCTTTTTTTTGTTGAACTGATTTTCCCAATTTGGGATAACCAGACAGAAGCTTTTAAATATATGAGTCATTTCAGGGGGCCAGTTGAAACTCGGAGACAATTCAACTTCATATAGGTTTAAATGGGGCCTTATTTTTCATCTATCCACCTTCGCAGGGCAAAAAGAGAGCTTGGAAGCCTATAGTTTAGCACTTGTCACCAATCCTTTACTAAAGTCCAGGCAATTAGGCCCATGATTGTTAAAATTTTATCTCAAAGCTCCTGTCCTGCACAAATCAATCACAGCCACTGCTGAAAAAAAAACACATAATTTTAAAAGATTCTTTAATCCACACCCAAGGAGATGTGTGGGGGCTGCCGAGAACTCATGACGACAGGGACAGCCGGTGGTGTCCAAGGGGGCAGCTGCTTCTGAGACCTGTTTTGGGACGGGACAAAACGAACCAGTGGTACTTTTCTCTCCAAATTTCTTTCCATCTTTACATCTGCCGATTCACCACATTTCGGTCCAACAAACTGTTTTTCTCCATTGCGAGGTTTACAGCGAGAGCAAGAGGGACTCAAGACAAGCGAGGGGGCGATGTCTGGGATATGTTGCAACACGTAAGGCTGAAAAACGTGTAGCTGTTTACTACCAGCTCCCGGGAGACGCCGAGCGCCGAGCGCATAAGAGCTCAGCCCCTGGTGCGCGGCCCCGCCTCCCACACAGCCTCCTGCGCGTTCGTTCGGGTGTGGGGGCGACACGCAATGAGCCCTCCCCAACGCCGCCCCGGAGGCTCCTTGTGCGCCGGCCCCCAGGGCATCAGCTAGGTCTCCCTTCGCGCCCCACGCCCACGCTGCGCGCTGCCCGCCTCGGAGTTACCTCGGAGGCCGGGGTTGTCGTCTCTGGCCCGAATCTTTCGGATTTTGACAGGGCGCCCGCTCAGAGTAGACAGGACCAGACGCTGGCGCAAGAAGTTGCAGCCCGCGTAGCTGAGGGAGTGCGCCTGGGTCGCCATGTGCACGCCCTCTGCAACGGCGCGGGCGGCCGGGGCGAGGCGACTTTGGACGGGCGCGGGTATCGCGACGACGGCGGCGACGGCGACAGCGGCAGTGGCGGCCCGGGCTCCCTCCCGCAGCCCCGCAGCCCCAGGCGCGTCCACGTGGTTTGGAACAGGAAGGGAGAGAGACGATACACCGGGTCAGAGGGGAGTGGGGCGGAGCCGGTGACCGCCTCTCCGCCTCCCGGCCCGGCTGGGGGCGGACCCCGCACCGGGCCACTCCGCTATTGGCTGGTGCAGGATCAGGGCGGTGCCCGGGGCGCACCGCTATAGGCCTACACTGGGGCTAGGCGGTGCCTGGGCCACGCTACCATTGGCCTGCGCTGGAGCTGGGCGGTGCCCGGACCCCGGCAACAGCGCTTGGCTGGAGGAGCGCGGGACGGGGGAGCGGCCTGGGAGCGGAGGCGATGGAGCACGCCTTCCCCACCAGTTTCCGCGGGGTCTTTCCCCGCGTGGGGGCAAGGGGAGGCGGTGGACTGGGTTTGAGTCTCTCCTACATGCCCGGTACTTAGCCACACTACTTACGGCAACCTCTGGGATGTGTATGCTATTAGCTCCCCCGCCTTTTTCTTAATAGAAGAGAAAACAGGATTGGCGCGCTTTACCCTGTTTCAGACACCGTGCTGAGCGCGCAGCCGGCCCTATGCCCTCGCGCCCGCTGTAATCCTGAGAGGTAGTGCCATTCCCGCCCTACACTTGGGGAAAGACTCGAGGAACATTGCAAGGCTGGCAGTGGCAGCATGCACAGGAACCAAAGTCTCCCGACACCAGGCCATTACTTATGAGACACCAAGCTTTGCCCTTTTCACATCAGTGGCTTCCCTTTACAGCCACAGTGCTTTTTGCCAAGTCAGGTCCTCCCATTTTGCATGCCTCAAAATGGATAGTTGTAATAAATTACACACACACACACACACACACACACAGGTCTTCCCTCTTTCCCATCCTCTTCTAATCTTGCACACCAAAAGCTTCCCAAAGATTGGATTATGTCACTCCTCTGCTCAACAACCTTCAAAGATAACGCAGTTATCTATAAAATGATTACAAACTTGGGAGTCCAATACCATAATACGGTTGGTTTGTAGCGATTCTTGGACAATGTCGCCAGATTATGAGTTCCAGAACACATGGGGGAAGAGGGGGTTCTGGAAGGGGTCAGAGCTTGAGTAAGATTAAAGAAGGTGGCTAGCGTTACGTGGGTAAGACTCAGTTATGAGGAACCACTGGAAGGTCTGAACTCCTATAGGGTGACAGGTTATTAGCGGTGTATGCTGAGTTTAACAGAATCAGCCCTGAAGTTCATTGAGGGAGGTGGGTAATCCATGCACATTATTGCCATTTCTTGAGACTTCTTTTAGGAAGTTGACAGTATTGAAAACTCCAGGACCTCTGAGGGCCTCCCTTGAATCCTGCTGTGGAGGATGCCAAAGCAAGGAAAAGAACCATCACACCAGGAGTGTATGTTTTGTATATCATCTCATCTTAATTACTCAACAACCTTAAAAAACAACTAATATCTTCTGTAGCAACCCCTGTCTGTGCCCTGTTCATATCCCTTCAGCTCTTACTATTTTCAGTGCAAACGTGCTTAATTATCCTCCAACAGCACCTAGATCTCTTTGTCTGAGGGTTTTTCCCACCTGTATGGAACTCAGCAGGGCAAAGGTGCTGGGGAATTAATGCCCCGCCCCCCTTCCCCCAGAGTCCTCAACCAATGGCTGATGGGAGTTGATGTATAAATATCCCAGCGCCCTTAAACTTTGAGTGAGATAGCTCTGAGACATAGATTCTACAGCGTTTCCCCAGGGACCTTCAGAGATTTTAATCTTCAGTTGCCTACAGCAGGGGTCCCCAACGCCGGTAGCGGTCCGAGACCCATTACTAACAGGGCCGCACAGCAGGAGGTGAGCGGCAGGCGAGCAAGCAAAGCTTCATCTGCCGCTCCGCGTCGCTCGCATTACCGCCTGCACCATCCCGCCCCCACCATCCCCCGTGGAAAAATTGTCTTCCACGAAACCGGTCCCTGGTGCCAAAAATGTTGGTGAGCGCTGGCCTACAGGGGTTACTTGCTTAAGTACCTTTTACTGGCTTCCTTCCCTTCCCCGTATCCTTCCTAGCTCCCTTCTGATATTTCGTGGGATTAATTCTCAAATAAACTACTTTCACTCAAATTATTGCCTCAGGGTCTTCTTCTGGGCACCTCCAATATAAGTTCTGATTTTTAATATTTGAGAACTGAGGTTTAGAGAGAATAAATGACTTGTTTAAAGTGACATCACTAATAAATGGCAGAACCAGAATAAAAACTTTGTCTGCCTCTCTGTCACTGTCTGTCTGTCTCTGTCATCTCATATCTTTGGAACCCTGAACCTCTAATAAGAAGTCTGGCTACCATGAAGCTGCCATGCCAGAGAGACCACAAAGATTTAGTGCCAGCTGTTCCAGCTGACAGCATCAGCTGCCAGACATGGGAGTGAGGAAGCCTTCAGATGATTCCAGTCCCCAGCCAGCCTCTGACAAGTCTTTGGAGTCACCCTAGCTGACACCATATGGAGCATAGATAAGCTATCCTCACTGAGGCCTGCCCAAATTGAGCTAAATAAATGATTGTTACTATTTTAAGCTATGGGTTCAGGGGTAGTTTGTTACACAGTAATAGATAATGAAACTACATATCCCCGAATCCCCTTCCCTGCATAATTCTGGGTTAGCAAACCACAAGAAACATCTTGCATGAGATTTCAAAGGCAAACGTGAAGTCACAGCCACATTTTTTATGTTTGAAAGGTCACTGCAGGGTACCAGGCTCTCTTGCAGCTCACATAGCTACCTTGTTGGCATGGAGCAGCAGCCAGGCCCAAAGCTCCTCCAGCTTCCACCTGATCCTACTTAGCAACTCCGCTTCCTGGGCCAGCTGTGTATCTACCTCCATGACAAAGGACACCATCTTCTGCTGGTCACTCCCATCACTGGAGTCAGAGGCTTGGAGTCAGTGAGAGACTGATGCAAGTTCCAGCTCATCCTGCTGACTTTGGGCTCTATCACCAGGCGCAAAGACAACAGCCTCATACAGACTGTGAAACCAGCCCTCACAATAGCATAACGTCAGATCCCTACAATAAACCTCTAGTGAGTGGTTCTGCTTTTCTTTCTTTCTTTTTTTTTTTTTTGCGGTACACGGGCCTCTCACTGTTGTAGCCTCTCCCGTTGTGGAGGACAGGGTCCGGACACGCAGGCTCAGCGGCCATGGCTCACGGTCCCAGCCGCTCTGCGGCATGTGGGATCTTCCCAGATCGGGGAATGAATCCACGTCCCCTGCATCGGCAGGCGGACTCTCAACCACTGCACCACCAGGGAAGCCCGGTTCTGCTTTTCTATTTGAACCCTGACTAGTGCACAAGCCATTACTGAAAGCCTACTGAAATTAAGGCTTTATGCTAAACGCTTTACACACATGATCTCATTTGGTCCTCACACCAACTACTTCAAAAGTTGGGTTGTAAGTACATAGGGGTTTATAATACAGTTCTCTCTACTTTTGTTTATTTTCAAAATCATCCATTACAATTTTTTAAATCTGCTCATAGATTTTTCTTTCACACTAAATGATAAATGACATATACCTTGCTTTGTAATCACTTCCACAAATACTTGCACTTTAATAATGATAAAATCGTGCTTGGCTCAGTAGTGGATTTGGGGGCCAGGGTAGAAACAGATTCTTCCCAGTCCATAAAGAAAGTTACTCAACATCACACTTCTACCCACTCTGCTATCTCATCATCTCCTTTATTCAAATGATAATGGTTCAGTGGGCTTTTTCTCACCTCAGCCTGGAACTAATGCTTACACCACTCCAATTTTAGGATGAATGTTTGTGTCCTGTGCTCCTCCTTTGAGCTCCCACAATAACTATTCACAAGTACATTTCTGCATATATATCGTCCTTTTTTAAATTAATTAATTATTTATTTATTTTTGGCTGCATTGGGTCTTTGTTGCTGCACATGGACTTTCTCTAGTTGCGGCGAGCTGGGGCTACTCTGTTGCATTGTGCAGGCTTCTCATTGTGCTGGCTTCTCTTGTTGCACAGCACGGGCTCGATGCACAGGCTTCAGTAGTTGTGGCACGCGGGCTTCAATAGCTGTGGCTTGCAGGCTCTAGAGCGCAGGCTCAGTAGTTGTGGCACACGGGCTTAGCTGCTCTGCGGCATGTGGGATCTTCCCAGACCAGGACTTGAACCCGTGTCACCTGCATTGGCAGGCAGATTCTTAACCACTGTGCCACCAGGGAAGCCCCCATATATATCCCCTTATAACCTCTTGAAACCTGTTTATGTGGCAGCCTACCTAACAATACTTTGTGATCCAGTGAGTGTGAGGACTATGTCCTATCACTTAAAGCAGAAATCGTCTTATCATTGTATGCCCAGTGCTTAGCACTTAGTAGGTGTTTAATAAGTGTGACTATAATTAATTCTAGTTTAGTAAGTGTGACTATAATTAAAACACACATGGCTAGCCTAAATCAATAAACTCAAACTGTCTAAAACAATGGTTCTCAAACTTTATCATGCATCAAAACTGCCTGGAGGGCTTGTTAAAACACATATTGCTAGGCCTCATCCCCAGAGTTTCTTCAGTACATCTGGGGTAGGGCCTGAGATTTTACATTTCTAACAACTTCCCAGGTGATGTTGATGCTTCCGGCCTAAGGATCACACTTTGAGAAGATTTAAAGAAAAGGGGGGGTGGAATTCCCTGGTGGTCCAGTGGTTAGGACTCCACGCTTACACTGCAGGGGGTACAGGTTCGATTCCCTGGTTGGGAACTAAGATCCCACAAGCCATGCAGCCAAAAAAAAAAGACGGCCAAAAAAAAAAGACATACGCTTACATACACAGAATGGGAGTCCCAGAAGGAGAGCAGAGAGAGACAGGGACAGAAAGAATATGTGGGCAAAACTTCCGAAGTTTGATGAAATGCATAAATCTACACATCCAAATAGTTAAAGTCACTACTTTAGAAGTTGAAGTTTTATTAGAAGTGGAGCCTCCAGACGAGAACCCAGTCCTGGCTGACACCTTGATGAGAACTTTGTGAGGCTGTGAAGCACAGAAC